AGCGCACCAGGCCTCCCTGTCCTTCACAATCTCCCAGTTTGCTCAAACTCATGTTCATTGAGTCAGGGATGCCATCCAACCATCTCATCCTCTGTTGCCAGTTAAGTACTTCATGAATATTATTGTATTAGCTACATCCTTTCCTCTATCATCATTGCACTTTCAGGGCTTTAATCTGACTTCTCCAATTTCTTTGAGCACTCGAGTTACACCTGCACACATCTGCTTTATTTGAATACTGACCAACTGTCAGTGCTTCACAGGGCCACCTTTCATTATATTTGCTCTGTATGTATGAAATTTTATTTCCCCTTAGAAACAAGCTAGATGGCACAGCGGTAAAGAATCCACCTGTCAACATAGGAGATGCAGGAGAGGCGGGTTCGATCCCTGAATGGGGAAGGAGGAAATGGCAACCCACTCCAGTATTCTTGACTGGGAAGTTCCACGGAAAGAGAAGCCTGGCAAGCTAGTCTATGGGGTCGAAAAGAGTCAGACACGACTCAGCACACACGATTACTAGAAACAAGATCAGGGGATTATCTAAGGTTTCGTCTGTAAACTTTTTATGTTCCAGTATTTCACCTAAGGCTCAACGTCATGGAGCCCTTCATACTTAGTGCCTCGCTGTGATTGCCAACATAGACACTAACCTTTTTTTGCATCTACTCTGCAGATAGAAGTGCTATACATGTTTAATAAGTAGTTTTTCCAGGAAATTCAATAAAAGGAAATAGTAGCCCTTTTGCACACTTTCAGGGCCTGTTCATTTCAGAGGTCCTTTAAAACACTTCCTAACATGTAATTGTCCTACATTAAGCAAACTAAATCCACTTAAGAGAAACATGAACAGCAGCCTCCACCAAAATTACCCCAAAACTGATGCATATTCCACATTAGGCTCCCCTCCCTTCACTTTCTTGTGCAATAAGAACCTCGATCAATTAAGGACTACTGCTCCAAGGAAGAACAGTCTCACTGCTGCTTGAGCTTTCGTTAACCTTCACCATTCAATAATCTTCCCATCTAAAACCCTCATGGAAGCCCGTTGGTAGAGCCCAGATTTCGAGCCTCACAGGGCTGCAGTAGTGGCTACAGGTGCTGGCCTAAAGATCACTGCTGGTCTCCGGCACACCAGTCCCAGAGGCCACATCTGCTCCGCATCCACTGCTGACACCTGCATCCTTTATCATGTCAACAGGGCACATCTGCCCGTTTTCTGTCATTAAAATCACTCAGCAAACCCATTCTGTTTGGGATTCTGAAACCACCTAAGACAAAACACGGTCACTGATTTTATTACTGAACCTTCCCCAATATAGATTACAAAACGTGAGTGTGGCTTCCAGCAAAATTTGCACTGATTCTGAAAAATCAATGTGTACTGAAAATTTATGTTTATGAGACACTCTTCATGAACAAGGAGCCTAGATGCAAAGGGTGATTAATTCTCACATGGTAAATGCAGGGAGGGTTTTCAGTCACTAAATGAATTCATCAAAATTATTTACTGAGCAATGCAAAAATTGCAGTTAAGCTGAGGAACTTGGCTTTGGACAAAAAAAAAAAATGGCAGGAAAAAAGTACACAAAGAGAAAAAAATAGAAATAAATGTAGTTAACACTAATAGATGGTTTATTGGAAACCCTCAGAGCATTTTTCAAAAGGATTTGACAGATTTTATTGTAATGAGACATAGTGAGGAAGAAATGGTTTAAAAGATGTCATCAATCTTTTATTTAACTAAGCACTTGCCCTTCATTTTGAAGGAAATGATAGTTTCAAACTGGAACCGCCTTCTGAAGAAGTGGTATGAGAACATAACATTGATTTAACATATAATCAACAAAAATAAAGTTTAGACAATTGACTAGGAAATAAAATGCACGTGGAATTTATCAAGTTAAGCAATGTAATTCTCCATGGGTTACAGGTATTATCACTAAGAACAAGACAATATAATGAAGTCGAATAAACCAGTTGTTATCTTGATTAAAAAAAACAACAACCTCACAAGTAAAACATAACTTGCCAAACAAACCCTTTCAATGATCATGATCACAATAGGTTTTATTCTAATTTAAAAAAAAAAAAAAAGGTTAGACAAATCACATCATATCAAGTCTTCAACACAATGGATTCCATTCTAAGGAAAAAAAAATATAGGAAACAAGTAGTCCTTAAATTCTCATTATCCATAGTATATGTTGTAGAAAATTAAAGTTCTGCTTCCAAAAATATGTTTCCATGTGGTTGTGGTGTTGTTGATTGGTGCTATTAGGGACAGAAGCACCAAAGATGTGAGAAATGTAACCACTGAAGTATCATTTTTTCATAAAAACTAAAAATTTCCTTAAAGGTCTGGAGTAAAGTCTTCTGCTAGGTGTGTTAGTGCTATAGTCATTTTAAATTAAATGTGGAATAAAAGCTACAAAAATTTGAGTTCTTTCAATACAAAAAGTTGTGTAGCTGAAGTTGTGGGCTCCTTTGCTATACATAAGCAGTCTCAATAAAATATTTGCTTAAGAAAATAGAATTTGTCTGATTACATTTAGCATCCGTTCCAGTTGAGTGTCTTGCTTATCCCTGCCAGAGCTTCTGAAGAACATTAGAATCAATATTCCTCATCTTCAAAGAGCATCCGTAATTCACAGTACGAAACAGTTCTAGAGTCTTAGTCCTAAGGAGAAACAAAAATTAAATATATATATGTATATTTTAAAGTGCCAGATGTAGCCACTGTCTGGACATTCAAAACCCTTATCCACATCTTCAAGAAAGATGCCAACAGTTGATTCGATCCCCTTCTTTGAAACTTTCACTGGTTGGTTGATGCTTTACTTTAACTATGACGACCCTAATAAAACTTCCAACAGAATCACGGTTCCAAAAGCATTATGTACGTACTTCACATCTCCGTTGCTCTGTAAAAACACACGAAAAAGCCGCATCCAAAGATCTCTTAACTCTTCTAGCTCATTTTCAAGTCCTGTTATCAAAAACCTCTTCCTGAGAGGCAGAATTGCTACTGTAGATGTGGATTTTATAGTTCTTCCTTCCAGTTGAGATTTCTCACAAAGCTAGAACACAGAGTCATTGCTATCCCCGTGCCTGATGACATTCACTTTCCACTGAAGCTGGAAAGAGAGAGAGACAGAGATCGGAAAGCGGGAGAGAGAGCTGGCCCAGAGCTGCTAGATGGTGCTGCTCTGCTCTTCCCTCCGGCTGCCCACACAGTGGTCATTGCATTCAACTTTCTCTTGACTGTGTTCGACACAAAAGACAATTCAAATCTAACAGGCTCGCCCAAACGTCTTTACCCACTTTACCTTGCTCCACTTTTCCACGAGCAAAAGAATACAAACACAAAGCTGTGAGATTATTAAAGAAGGAAACTGGATTAACATTTTCAACAGGAAACGGATGTTTCTCCAAAGTCCTGGACTAGAGCTGACTGTGGTTCATCTTTAACAGTCAAAGTGATAGGACCTGTCTGGGGATTCCTGTGAAAACAGGGAACATAGCCTACGCCCTTGTAATTAAATGAATTAATGTTGTGGTGCTATGAAGGTCTAGGCTTTTACAACTTATGGCCTCGACTTCCTAAGTTTGAAAAAAAAAATGTAATAATACAAGAAAATCCTTCAAGTTTTGCTGCCTTGATTTAAAGATCTCCAGGCAGGATGCCTGAGGATGGCCATGGCTGTATCACTTAAATATGGATCATTCAAATATGATCCTACTCTATGGATAAAAACTGGGTCACAAAATAACTGTATAGTCCACGGGGTCACAAAGTGACTGAGCAATAGCTCAGTGACAGGACTGAGCGACTTTCACTTACATACAGATTGTATCAAGCATGGCTAGCAATACCTTATCATTTAAATATGCCTCAAGCCAAAAATTTGACCTCCAGAAAAACAAGAGTGAGTGAAGGGGGTGAGACAGTAAAGGGAAAAAAAAAAAAAATCACAGGACCACCACCAAAGCCTTAAATTAAGAAAACAAATTACCTTCACTATATCAGGAGGGGGTCGACTGGGGAATTGACAGGAAATTGACCTGAGGATGAACATGGCCACGCAGGTTTTAATTAGATCAGAGACACAAAGGGCTCTGCCCTCCTCTTACGACAAACACAGCAGCTCTTAAGTGCCTACAACTGCAGGCTATAAACAAAGGCTGCAAAACAGAACCAGAATAGAATCCTTCCCTTAGCTGGCCTGTGACAACAATTTACTTGAAACCTGGGAACCGGTGGGCCGCTCAGGAGACTCAGCCAGAAGCCAGCTCCAAAAGACACATCGCTGGGGGATGGGGCTGGCTGAGGTAGCCAAGTCTTTGTTTTGCAGCCCAAGTTTACTCAACTATTTGTTACACTTCACAGGGGGTTGTTTGGTTTCAGTCTGCTGATCCCAGATCTGATCCAGGTTTCACCAGCCTTGCACCCCAGGAAAACCATAAAATAAATAAATCACCCAGCTTCCCGGACCCCTCACACTGCTCCTCGGGGGGTGGCGCGGGGGGGCGGGCGGTGTGGAAGCACACCACAAGCCTCCTCTGGCCTTACTACAGGGCATCCTCCAAGCCCGGGGTAGGAGGGGAAGCGCGGGCAGAAGGCAGCGGCAGGCGTTGGCATTCCGAACTTGTCTTCATCGCTAAATTCAGAAGAGCTGATTTTTGGACCCAAGCCCAGCAGGGATTCAAGTGTCTGGCAAGTCCATAGCTTGCCTCACCTCGGGAAAAGAAGGCGGACTGAGCCAGTGGGCAAGAGGCCGAGAAGCGCCCCCGGCCAAAGTGCTCCTACCTGCTCCCTCTTCCTCCTCCGTCCAAGATAGCAAACTCAAGCCACAGCTGGCTACGCTTTGTGCCAACTCTCCGTTTTCCAAATGGCCCAGGAGCCCAGATGGGGCCCAGAAGGCGGTGGAGGAGGGAGTGAGAGGAGGGAGCGGCACGGGCAGCGGCTGCTGCAAACAGCTCCTCTCTCAGCTCCCCCGTCAGTGCACCACCGCCTCTCGGTCCTCCTCCTCCCGGCCCGGCGCGGGGGGGCGCCCGGGAGGCGGCGTAGTCCGCGCAGCGTCGCTGTCGCCCTCGTCCGGCTCGGGGTGCAGGTGCGTGGCCAGCTCCTGCAGGACCGCGGTGCGCCCGATCTGGTCGTTGCGCCGCTTCTCCATGATCAGGTCCTCCAGGCTCTGGAACTCGAGCGTGTGGCTGCGCTGCGCAGAGAGCTGGATTTGCAGTCGGTAGGGCTGCTTGCCGATGCGCAGCTCACCGCCGATCTTGAACTCGCGCTTGCCGTAGCGGCACCAGGCGGCGAAGCTCTCCGAGTTGCGCCAGCTCAGCTCGCGCTCCTTGGCGCCCACGTGCGCCAGCGCGTTGCGCACCACGGCGCTGGGGCTCAGCGGCTTGTAGCGGTACAGATCGTTCACTACGCGACCGCGCCGGCCCTGACTCGCGTCCGTCAGGAAGCTGTTGCTCACCTCTAGTCGGTGCAAATGCACCACCTGGAAGTTGCCCACGTAGACGGCCCAGTGTGGGTACTGCGCCTGCGACACGAACTCCACCAGATCGCCAGGCCTGCACTTGTTGAGCAGGTTCTCGGGGGTGTAGGTGCTCAGCGCCGCGGAACCCGGCGAGAAGCTTTTCTGGTAGATGCATTCATCGCGGTAGAACACGGAGCACTCCACCTCGTGCAGCCGCGGGTCATAGGGCTGCGGCCGGGGCAGAGACGGCCCGTCCCCGCCGTCGGGCAAACCCACGCCCCCGCCATTCGGCCCCTGGGGCGGCGGCTGCGGCTCCATTTCCTCGTCGTCATTGGAGAAGATGTAGGAGACCCCGATGCGGGGCCCATCGTCCCGATCCACGCCCGTCGGGTCGGCGGTGGGCACTTCCTTGTAACTTAGGTGAGTCAGTTTCTCCACCTGGTTGCCCATCACGCTGCGCACGTTCACGCCGCCGGCAGAGGAGAAAGCGAAACCACCACTAGGGTCATTGGCACCGGTCCCCGGACAGGGGTTGAGACCACCTGTTGGGACAGGAAGGGAAGGAAACCGTGTAGGAGGCGCTCCTCCGTAATATGGGCGATCTGTTCTTAAAGAGGAGGAAGAAAAATTGGGGTCCGGGCACCTGGAGTCATTTTACGGGGAAATCTCAGACGCAGTGAGTTTTCTCTCTCACTTATCTGCCTCCAGGGCCACGGTCACAGGAGGCTGGGCAACTCCAGCTCGCCCCTGCCCCCAGCCCTTGACCTCGCCCGGGCAGAAGCCCGTTGCATCAGCGACTCCTACTGCTTCCGCCAGGGCCCTACCTGCCAATGCCAAGCAGGAAGGGGCCAAAGAAACTTTACTCCAATTCCCCTTTCCTATCTTCCCCTCCCCCCTTCATCTCAGGGTCCTAGGTCTGTTCCAGAGACGTCCCCGCCCCCCCTCCATCGCTAAGGAAACCAGCGAGGATCCCGCAGCGCAGCCTGGGCAGGTGAGCCGCCCTACCTGGCTCACCTGCGGCTCTTCCTCCTACCGTCTGCCCGCCCCTCCCCCGCGCACCCGCCCTCCGGCTCCGGTTACCGGCGCAAACTCACCCGCCTAGAAGTGGAGGCCGTGAGGAATTGGAAGACCCCCCTCCCCCTACCCCGCCGCACCCTGAGACTTCTAAGGCGAGTTTGCAGGTGTGGACTCCGCAGTCTCTTCTCTACGGGCGCCGGCGGCTGCGAAGCTGGGCGGGATGGAGCAGAGCATGTCTTGTCCCCCGGGGCTACGTTAGCGCCTCAAGACTTGAAGGCGGGGAGCGGCGCCTCTTCACGCCGCACCCCTTCCCTCCTGCTGGGGCTGCTTCACCCCCTCAACCGGATCTCGGGGGGGGGGGAAGTGGGGTTCTCTAGAAGAAGAAGGAAGCAGCCTCGGTGCCCGGCGGCGGCAGCTCCCGCTCGGGCCGGGCGAGCAACAAGCGCCGGAGCGGGAGGGACGGGATTGTAGATCCGGCTCCGGGCTCCCAGGGCGGGAGCGCAGCCCCTAGCATTTAAAGAGACAGGCGCTCGCTCCCAGAGCTCGGGTCTTTCTCGCAAGGCGCTGAGCCTCTGGCATCCCCGCCTCCGCCCCGCCCACCCAGGCCGCGGGGCTCCGCCCAGGCCACGCCCCCGCTTCCGAGCGGGTTTAAATCCCGCTGGTAAATAACCGAAGGGCTTGAGTGGGCTGGCAGTCTTCGCGGCTGGAGTGTACTTAAGTAATGGGGACCTTACTCACCTTCTTAGAATAAGACCTGTAGTGGAGTCCGCGCTGCTTATTCCAGTCATGTTTTTCGGAGCTGTGAGCTTTAAAATGAAGTTGGAGAGCACTGGCCACCTGCCAGTGTAGAGAGAAGAGAGGGATGAAGAGTTTGGTGTTCTGCCTCTTCATCCCCAGAGTACCTGGAGAGATGAGGAACAGTCACTAGAAAGCAAACAGACTTTTGCTTCTTTCTTTTCTTCCCTGGAATCAATTTCTTGCCAAAGGTCACAGAAAATAATTTTTTACTAGGACACCTGGAGAAGTACTTCTGTTTAGAGGTATTTCCAGAATAAGTCCTATGAAATTTTCAGGTAGGGAAAAAAAAAAAATTCTCAGAAAGGAAACAAAGCAGAACGAAGGCTTGGCTAGGGACTTAATTCCAAGACCTAGGCTGTTACTAATGTCCTTCTAAGTTAGTACAAAGTAGATTTTTCATAACCTCCATTGTTGTTTTGAGAATTACCGGTTCATCCAGTGGATAGTGAAAGAGGGCATTCAGCTCTGGCGGTTTATCTTGAGGATAGAGGATGTAGGAATTGCCTAATTGTCTTTAAATTAAGGACATATTAGCAGAGGCCCTCAGTGAATGTGTTTCCTTCCTGCTAACTTACAGAAGGAAGTGACAGGAGGCCAGTACTGCCTATTAACCTAAACTACAGGAGGGTACTTCCTCCCTCTCCCCTCCAGGTTGGTTTTGTTTCTAGTATCTAAGATGAAAGTTACCAAAGTGTTTTGTTTTGTTTTGTTTTTTTAATAATGGATCGGATTGGGTGGTGGAGAGTTGACACTAAACAGACTTTCACTGAAAACCCAGAGTAATTCTTGGTGGAATTAAGAATGCGACTCAAGACCTCCTCTACTCTGCTTTCCATCACTGTTTCTTTTGACTCCGTTTTTTCCAGGTAACACAATTATTTATTCAGTGTGTATTCCAGCCAGTGGAAACAGGAGTATACTAACACTACTGCGATCTTTTTTAGTTTGGAGTGTGGAGGAGGAGAAATCAGTCTACTTATGTACTTTTGAACACCACCAGTCAATATTGGCAGGGCTGTGATGGGAGTTAGTCCTTCAGCAAGTCTAAGATCACAGTATCAGTTAGATCAAAAACAGACTTCTGTGTGTCTGCTGTGTAGATTAGGTATTTTCTAATCAGCCTCAGGCATGTGTGACCAGATGAGTCCCCTCCCTGGACTTTTTGATAACACATGCTCTGGGAGATGCTGTTTTACCTGAATAATATTTGCCACCACTGTTAAGTGAAAGTGAAAGTGAAATGCGACCCCATGGACTGTAGCCTACCAGGCTCCTCCGTCCATGGGGTTTTCCAGGCAAGAATACTGGAGTGGGTTGCCATTTCCTTCTCCAGGAGATCTTCCCAACCTAGGGATTGAACCCAGGTCTCCCGCATTGTAGACAGACACTTTACCGTCTGAGCCACCAGGGAAGCCACCACCATAAGAGCTCACGTAAATACGCATTTTATAAGGGAGGAGGGAGAGGGAGTGTTCGACTGACCAATGGCCAGTCATCTCATGTCTGTTAGACCGTGAAACCTCTGCTACCATCAGCTAGGGTAGGCCACTTTGTCCCTAGGTGGTACTAGGTAGTCTCCCTGATGGAGAATCCATAGAAGGACACAGTAGCATGGTGGTTTGCTACCAGCACCCCAGGGCACAGATCTAATGAGTCACAAGCAATACCTAGTTGTCCAGGTGTCTAGCCTATTACCTTGATGAGCTCTGTTCACAACAGTGACTCAACAACAGTTCTTCTGTTCTGTTTTGTTTTTTTAAATAATAAAGGGTCCAAGTATTGGACTTTACATAAAACATTCTTTACACCTTAAGGGAAGCAAAACAATATTCTTGACATAACCTGAATACAAAACGTTATCTGCGTTTTAAGATACAATCATCTTGAATACAAGCTTGAAAACTTCAATCGATTTTTTAAAAAATACTGATAGTTTTATCATCAAAATAGATATTGAATAAATTCCAAAATGCATAGAACCATCACAGTGTAATGAACTGATATTACTGTATTTCAACCATGCATTTCTAGTTTATTTATCTGAGTATAATTGCTTTAAAATGCTGTGCTAGTTTCTGCTGTACAACAAGGTGAACTAACTGGATGCATATATTCCTGCCTCTTGAACCTCTCTCCCACCCCTCCCATCCCACCCCTCAACAACAGTTCTTGAATTGACCAGCTATAAAGTCTCAGAGGGAACAGGTTCTGAGTTATCTTTATATCCTGATACCTGGCACTCAGTAAGTGCTCCATAAATGCTTGACGGATGCTTGAGGGGAATTCTTGGACATATGAATAGCCTGTTTCCTGTGTAGCTTCTTCCATAGATGCCTGGTTAGGACCTCCATCTGATCCCTGAGGGCTCTTGGTCAGAGGTTGCAGAATGGCTCCCAGACTTGCTTTGCTCATCTCAAATGCTTGTTTAATAAACTTAGATTAACCGATAATTTGGAGACTTGGGAAATCTCACCTAAAAATTCAGAGTTCCAGTTTCATTTGAAAGTGTCAATGATATGAGACCACTGGGCCCACATTCCAGGATGGCAACAAAAAGCTAGAGCTGAGCAGAAATTGCCTTTGAGATGAGATGTAGCCTCCAGCTGGCCCCAGTCTCTGTCCTGTTCACTTCACATTCCTAGTGCCTTGACTGACCCTGGGAACCTCTGTGTTGGCCACCACTGCCATCCAGTTTTATGCTATACATTGTGTCACTTGATTATATGTAATTCAGCACTTGAACACATAGCATCTGGTATTATCCTTTAATTCATGTATTTAAAATGTCTTTTCTAAAGAGAGCTTAATTCAAACTATATTTTTTGAAAATCTGCTAGGTACCTGTTAAACACCATTCATTTATTCTACAAGTATAATAGGCACTGCGTCAGGTTTTGGAGGTATTCCTGTCCCCATGAAATACACAGGCTCCTTAGGACAATATCAGATGTACTACAGAACAGGAAAATAGAGGATGCTCAGGGGAGTTTCAAGGCATGCAGGTACAAAGGTGAATGTTAAAGTGTCTGCCATCAGGAGCTTGCGCTAGAGAGGGTGACCAGCCCTAAAATCAACAATGGCATCTCCCACTGAGTGACCTATTCATTCTGTTATAAAGGTCAGTTCAGTTTAAAGAAGCTAAGTGACTTCTCCCAGCTGGTAAGCAGCACCATCTCACAAGCCAGCTTGATTTCAAGCCCCACACTCATAACCTCTTTGTTTTAAATAGGGACAAATACATTATTCAATATTTTAAAATATCTGAGTGTCTGGCTTTACTGGGCTCCAGAGATAAAGCCATGGACACAGTAGACAAAGTCCTTTGTCTTCATGGCTTTTCTATGTTGATGGAAGGAGACAATTGACAAGTTCAAGTAAATGTGTATTCATTTCTGAGAGAGATAAAGGCCATCAAAAAATAGACTAGGGTGATGGGGTTGAGTGTGGCTACAGAGAGGGTGGGGGTTGGGATGGGGAGGTGGGAGGGCCTTTTTTTAAAACGGTCAGAGGTAGGCTCCTGAAGGAATGAAACTTGAGCTGGGACTTAAAGGATGAGAAGGAGGTGGCCTTGGCATTCCCTCCATGAGGAGCGCCAAGAGCAGAGGCTCGAGGTGAGGAATTGGAACATTCAGGAA